AAGTGACAACATGATGCCTCTGACACCCACATGCCTTCCAGGGCCTCTCCCTCACCTCCTAAATTCTCAAACGTTTGAGGGCCCCAAACTCTTCAGCCTCCCGCCCCTTGTCATCCTTCCAAGTTACTGCTTTCTCACCTCGTTGCACTGACTGGGCTAAGGCTGACTCACTGCTACCTGGGTGTGCCAAGGACTTCCGTCTCTCTGTAATCTACCTTGCCAGCGCCCAGGGACAGGCCAGCTGCTGCCAGTCACCCCTGTTGACACCCTGCATTGTGGAAGGACTCTTCAGATGGCAGCTGTCCATAAGGATTCATTGGTTCTTAACATCCCCCACCCCACCCCCACCCTACCCCTGTGCTCTGCTGGGCCTTACCTCCCATTCTGATCCGGTTTTTCAAGTTTAAGGTCCACTTTTGTTGTGGCAGCAGGTCCTCAGGGGTTTGGTGGAATCTGCCTTGGCCAAGGCTGTTTTGAAAGCGTGCCCCCCCCAACTCCATCCTGTGCCACCACCACACCCACCTCCCACTGGAGAGACAGCTCATGGAGTAAGAGCACATTCTGCTCTTGCACACCCAAGTTTTGCTCCCACCACCTGGATCCGCAGCTCTTAACCCTGTAAACTCAGCTTCTAGGGTGTCTGATGCCTCTGGCCTCCATGGTCTCCTGTACTTGTGTATGCATGTGCACATGCATACATACACACACACGCACACACGCGCACACAAACAGCAAAAAGAAAAAGCATCCTCCCCCAGTGCAGTGAGTCTAAGAATTTCTTTCTAGAGGGGAGAAGGAGCAGCCCCTTGCTAACCCATCTTCCTGGAGGGTATAGGAAGTATGCCAGGACCAGTGGGCAAAACTTGTAGTCACTTGTCTGGTAGAAATCAGTGCCATTGGCCAGGGACCCTCTTACTTGCACTGGGAGTACATGGCACAGGACACTAGATGTGCCTGGTCCTCTCACAGCATTCAGGGGTTAAAGCTGGTAGTGGTACACACTCAGGCTCCACGTGCATGGCTTCCTGCAGCTGCTTGTAAAATGCAGTTTAAAAATTCACCGTGTGGGATGGCCTTGCACCAGCTCACAGCCAGCTCAGGGCTGTGCACGCACACCCTGTTCTGTTCCTTTGCCTGGGCCGCCCCTGTGTGCATACCTACCATGTGTGGGGCTGGGAAGCCCCAGCTGGGACTCTGAGCTGAGGGTTTCAAGTTGATCAGGACACTGGGCTCTGTGAGTGTTGACACAGCCCAGATGGAATGGGGTTGGCAGTCCTGTTGAGTCTGACACCCGTCACCTAGCCAAAATCCTGCGAGAAGCTTCACACACCCTTGGGTGTCACCAGTTTCTTTTTAAGTCTCAGCTGTTTGGTGACACTGCTTTCCAGCATCCTTGAATTGATGTGTGCAGCTTTGAGGGGGGTGGTGTCTATATGGCCTTAACTTACCATTCTTAGCTTACAGAATGTGACCAGAGCAAAGAGCAGCAGCCTATAGGCGGACTTCTGGCCCAGCGCGTGGATTTGGTTGTCAGCCCTGGTTCCTCCTTCTGTGGACCCCATCGTCCTTTCAAGGAGTTGGTTGCACGGGCAGTGCCCTCAGGAAGGCTGGGTAGCTGGGTACAGGTAGTCCAGGATTGAGGGCAGGGCCAGTGCTGCTAAGGGCTCGATGGGTTCTCCTGCTCAGGCCAGACATTTATGCCCATTGTGGTCACCTGCTGTTCCCTTGGGTATAGTTACAGCTCATTCCCAGATTTCTCTGGGACCTTGAGAGCCAAGAGGTAGATCCAAGACACCCTGAGTGGTGGGAACATGCTCAAGCAAAACCCAGAGTGCTTTCCCGGGGGCTTCCTGGTCTTAGGAGCAGTAGCTTTCCATCCTGGGGCACTTAAAAATGCAGAAAAGCACAGAGGACCCTCCTGGTTGCTACTGATGTGGCCGTACTGGTGGCTGGTATGCTGGATGTGGCCGTACTGGTGGCTGGTATGCTGGATGTGGCCGTACTGGTGGCTGGTATGCTGTGGCTGGTGTGCTGGATGTGGCCGTACTGGTGGCTGGTGTGCTGGATGTGGCCGTACTGGTGGCTGGTGTGCTGGATGTGGCCGTACTGGTGGCTGGTGTGCTGGATGTGGCCGTACTGGTGGCTGGTGTGCTGGATGTGGCCGTACTGGTGGCTGGTGTGCTGGATGTGGCCGTACTGGTGGCTGGTGTGCTGGATGTGGCCGTACTGGTGGCTGGTGTGCTGGATGTGGCCGTACTGGTGGCTGGTGTGCTGGATGTGGCCGTACTGGTGGCTGGTGTGCTGGATGTGGCCGTACTGGTGGCTGGTGTGCTGGATGTGGCCGTACTGGTGGCTGGTGTGCTGGATGTGGCCGTACTGGTGGCTGGTGTGCTGGATGTGGCCGTACTGGTGGCTGGTGTGCTGGATGTGGCCGTACTGGTGGCTGGTGTGCTGGATGTGGCCGTACTGGTGGCTGGTGTGCTGGATGTGGCCGTACTGGTGGCTGGTGTGCTGGATGTGGCCGTACTGGTGGCTGGTGTGCTGGATGTGGCCGTACTGGTGGCTGGTGTGCTGGATGTGGCCGTACTGGTGGCTGGTGTGCTGGATGTGGCCGTACTGGTGGCTGGTGTGCTGGATGTGGCCGTACTGGTGGCTGGTGTGCTGGATGTGGCCGTACTGGTGGCTGGTGTGCTGGATGTGGCCGTACTGGTGGCTGGTGTGCTGGATGTGGCCGTACTGGTGGCTCACATGCTGGCAGCTTTTGGTCTGAGTGTTGGAAACTCTGATCTGTGGTTTTGCTAAAGATGACGTGTTAAAAGGCTATGTGGCCTTGTGTGTGTACGTGTTTGTGTTTGTGTACCTACATACCATGATGGGAGCTGAGGCCCCATGGGGTCTGTGCCTGTAGCCTCGCCCCTGCCCCCTGAGCTCACCCATTCGTCTCAGTGCTTCTCCTCAATCAAGAGGGGGAGACCAGACACCTTCACATCAAATTATGTCTCCCTGTAGTCTCCAGTCCCTTGCAGGAACATCAGAGCCCAGGTTCGAAGTGGGACTTCTGTCTTCTCCCATAGGGGACTGTAAACCCCAGCCTGCCTGTCCTGCTCCTCCATGTGCAGGTTATCAGTGACTCTCTGTTGTCATAGCTTCCTACTGACCATGAGAGATACCAGTGATAGTGGGACTGTCGTTCTGATCTGCCCTATAGTACTAGGCCACGTGGCCTTATCCAAACCTGTGGTCTTGGGCACTTGGGGCTGGGTGGTAGGCAGATGCCTGTGCTGAGGTGTTTGGCCCTGGCATCCATGGATACCCAGCCTATCATGACATTTAATGGACGTTTATCCAAGTGAAGTATGTGGTTGGTTTCGTGCTCCAGGTCAGTTGTCTAGTATGTGCTTTGACCACAAAGGGTGACCCTTCAAGGAGGTGGCAAGCCAGCAGGGTGGGGCTAGTGGGATGGGTCCTGTATCTGGCCACTGATCACCCTGCTGACGTCAGGCGGTTCTGTTCTGCTCACTGGGACCATGTGGCTGGTGTAGCCTTGTAAGCTCTGCTGGTTGGTACAGGAAATCTGTAGAGTACCTGGTCCTCAGTCACTGTTCAGAGTCCCCTGTGGTCACTGGGGTTAAAACAGGCAGCTCATGGCACTAAGACAGCTTCTGCCAGCTGACCTCCTCAGCTCCCAGATGAACGCCCAAGAGAAAGCTGTGGTTCTAGAGGAAGACACCCTCCAGTGAGGACTTCAGTTATCAGAGAATTTGTTTTGGTTTGTAGCTGACTGTGACGGGTGCCAGAAGAGAGACTCCTGGGAGAAAAGTCCTGCATCGGGAGGACTCAGGGACAGGGCTTAGCAACACACACCGAAACACCAGGCAGGCATAGGCCCTCCTGCCTGTATTCATAGCACCTGGGCAGTGTGGGGCTCCCCGAGGAGGACTGAATCCCCAGTCGTGTGAATCGGGCTAGATGCTATACGTGAGGGAATAGGACAGGGCTGTTCTGTGCTGACACGGTCACTGTAGAGCTCGGACAGAGGTGCACCCAGCCTTGTCCTCACGGCCTCTTCGCTTCTTTTTCTTCGTTATATCCTTATCAGAAGCAGGGTTGGGTGTGTGGCAGCTTGGAGGTGACTCTGCAGACCGTGCATGGCGGGGGGTGGGGGTTGGGGGCAACTCAGCCCAACATCAGGCAAACCCAGACACCAGTCTAGCTGCAGGCAAGTGGGTATGAGCTGGGACTCCATGGTCTCAGGGCTGGAGGAGCGCTGAACGACACTGACTGCTGAGCTGCTGCATTCTGTCATCTTGGTCTTCCCTTCACAAGTGAGCCAGGGACATCTGTGTCTCGAGTGCTGCTGTAGACAATGGGCTTGGCCTCCTCCTGAGCTGGTTTAGAGCAATAGTCCCCCCTTCCTCCAAGCTGTTCTAGGCCACCAGTGCTGCTGACTCCAGTCAGTGGCACTCCAGTGGTAGAGAGGACCAGTCCTTTAGACCACCTCATCCTCTAGGCTCGGCCCTAGGTATGAGCTGGGTCCAGAGGAGCAGTGCAGCTTGTTGCCTCCTTTCTCACGGAACCGAGCAGGGAGGCCTCAGTCAAAGACAATGGATGTCCGTGCCCAGCATAGGAAGGCATGTCTGCTCTGGTGCGTGTGGCTCAGTGCATCATTGGCTTAGACCACCACCGGCCTGGGCTCTGGCATCTGAATGACTGTGAGGTCTGTGCAGACGCAGAGTGCATTCACAGCCTGCACACAGGCTCTTCTGGCGTGTGTCTCTGTTGTGCTTGGGTGTAGGTGTTTGCGGCCCCCACAAGGACGCCAGAGACACTATATTTTAGACCTAAATCCCTTGCCATTCTAGACTTCTGTCTCCCCTGCCCCCTCATCTGGTTCTGTCTCCAGAGGCTCCTCTGCCTAGAGTCAGAGTTCTGTGGTCTCCAGCGTTCAGCCCTGAGATGGCCAGTGACTGGAAGTAACTAACCCACTTTCTTTCTCCCAGGGGATGTCCTCTTCCAAATGGCTGAAGTACACCGGCAGATCCAGAATCAACTGGAAGAGATGGTAAGTCTGGTCTCTGGGGTCCCCTCCGTGGCTGCAAGGGGCAAACACAGGTGAGCAAAGCAGTCAGGCGTCAGCTGCATGGAGCTAGCCGCATGCTTTGGCTCTGTCCATTTGGGACTGTTCACAGTTGTGTGGCCAAAGCACAGGTCACACAACGCACACTGAGCAGCCAGGGAGATGACTTAGTGTCTCAGACCCCTGGGTAAGTAGGCCAGGGAGTCTCATGTTCATTTGGCCTCAGAGGCCATGTGGGGTTATGAGAGTTGGGCCCAGGGAAGAAGCCACCTGTGTCCTGATGATAGACTCAGCCATGGTCTAGCTCTTGCTGCTGATGGGCTGGAAAGTCAGGTTTTCTCTGGATGCTCAGTTGTAGACTCAACAGCCACAGGACCTCAAAACCAATATGTGGGTTTACAGTGTCTAGTCTACAGTGAAGGTTTTGAGAACGTGTCCCAGTTTCCATTCAGGTCCAGCTCCTTCAGCCCCTGAGTGACCCAGCAGAGGAAAGAGGTGGGAGGCAGTTCCTGACTCCCTGTGGGAAATGGGACTTTGCAGGGCTAGAAGGCCTTGTTGTCTAAGGCTTCTGTTCAGCGCTCTTCCCTAGCAGCCTTTGGCTCTGTGGGGCCTGCCCAGCCCTGAAGTGTCCTCACATCATACCAGTCCAGGCTGGTTCTACTTCCTTTTTCCCGTGCTGTGCCTTGGAGCCGCCTGATGGTCTGTTTTCTCCCTGTGTACAGCTGAAGTCTTTTCACAACGAACTCCTCACGCAGCTGGAGCAGAAGGTAGAGCTGGACTCCAGGTATCTGAGTGTAAGTACAGCCACTGCTGCCAGCCTCTGGCTCCTACTTCTGCCTGTAGAGCTGTTTACTAGGCCTGAAGGCTCACAATAAGTTCCCTGGGCTCCCATCTAAGTGGCCCCTGGCCTCAGTGCTGTTGTGTCCACATGCAGTCCTAGTGTGAGCCCATTGCATCTGATGCTGTGTACGTGGCTCCTCTTCCTCTCAGTCACTTGTCACGGCTGATAGCTTGGCTTTGCGCAGCAGAACCCACATGAGGGCCTCAGTCCTGTGTCTCACTGTCCTCGCATGTTAGCCAAGGATCCTGCATCTAACATTAGGGGCAGTGCGTGAGGCTGGGCTGATTCCCAGGGCTGATGGTCATCTTGGGGATTGGAGAGATCTGCCCCAGAGGAGGGCAGGCAAGAGGCCTGCAGCTGTGACTCCCTGCCTGACTGTGGCCAGCTGGAGCCTGCTGTGGCTAGAGAGTGTGGAGTGCCGAGGAGGGAGCTCAAGCTGCTTGTGAGGCTCACAAGCCTCTGGTTGTATTGTGGACCCTCAGGCTGCACTGAAGAAATACCAGACAGAACAGAGAAGCAAAGGAGACGCCCTGGACAAGTGTCAAGCTGAGCTGAAGAAGCTCCGCAAGAAGAGCCAAGGGAGCAAGAACCCGCAGAAGTACTCAGACAAGGAGCTTCAGGTGGGCCGCTGCTGCCTGTCTGCAGGGGCTTCGCCCCTGGTGCGGACTGGGACCTTGTGCTCCTTTCTTTGTGGTGAGGGGGAATCAAACCATTTTATTCAGAGGCTCAAGGGTATGAGGTGCTGAAGAGGTCCATGCGATCTGATGTCCTTGGGAGGAGGGCGTAGCTTCTGGCTGCCACATCCCTGAAGCCTTCTGCTTCTTTCTTAGCAAGGAAAAGCCCCCCACCTGCCTGTCGCCCACCCTGCCTCTGTCCAGGAAGAAAGAAGCCACCAAGTGTGACAGTGCAGGGTTGATTCTGCTCTAGTGGCTTCTGGGCTGAATACCATGGCCTTGAGCCAGAGGATTGGTCAGCTCAGCCCTGTAGCCTCCCTGCCCTGCTCTCGGTGAAGGCTACTGGAAGGTTCTTAGCTGTAGAGGCAGAAATTCAGACTAAGCACTCCTGGATTCCTGCCCAGGAGCCGGACCCCAGACTGCTATTCTAATCAATTTGTGATCACCCACCCCAGGCTGGCCAGTCAAGGTCTTCTGTGGCAGATGGCCCTGCAAGCTCCTGAGGGCCAGAATCACTGCCATCTTCTCTCTCTCTGTTCCACCGGCTCTGCAGGTGCTGATCAAGTTTAAGACATTGTTGCCAGGTTGACACCTACGTCAGAGCCTGGGCAGTATCCTGATACCACTCTTGCAGTCCTACTGATGAGGATAAGGAGGGACACAGCAGGATAGCCAGTATTGTAGAGGAGGCATCAGGAGAGCCCCTCCAGTCACAGGGTCCGGGGAAGGGTGAGGGATGGCTCTGGTTCTGTCTCAGGCCTGGGGACCCCACCTGTCCCTCTTGTATCAGGCAGGTGAGTGGGAATGTGTGCCTGCCCAAGGCATGTGATGTCCCTGTTATGCCCATGGTGCCTCTGACTTCTCCCCTAAGCCCAGGAGTGGGGAGGGATGAGGAGGGGAGCACCAAGCCAGGTTCTTTCCTTGATCATAGTGGAGCTGAGCAGGTCAGCAGCTCCAAGGCAGCCTAGGAGATTGGCCTCGAGCACACACACACTTCATGGGTCCCATCATAAGTCAGGCTGTCCTAAGGAGTATAGGGACCTGGGCAGCAGCAGTTAAGAATCATAAGCCAATCACCCCAGTGGGCAGGGGCTTTGACAGGAAGTCACTACTATCCGCAGCCTTGCACGGAGTCTACTATCTATCTGTAGGCTTGCACAGAGTACAGCTTGTACAAAAAAGTGGCAGTAGCAATTCATGTCTTTCCTGCTTCAGGAACAATTTTCTGAGTTCAGGGTCTTTGCTTTGAATGGTTGGTGTGTGTGTGTGTGTGTGTGTGTGTGTGTGTGTTACACGTGTATCTAAAGGGCAACCTTGGGTGTCATTCCTCCTCAGCCACACAGTCTACCTTGTTTTTTGAGATAAGGTTTCTTGCTGACCTGGGGCTTGCCAGTTAGGTTAGGCTGGCTGGCTGGTGAGCCCCAGGGATCCCCCCACCCCACGCCAGTGCTGGGATTGATTACAAGCACAGGCCACCACCATGCCCAGCTTTTTTCTTGTTAAACATGGGTTCTGGGGATCATCAGTTCAGGCCCTCATACTTAGAAAGCAAGCACTCTAACAATTGAGCACCTCCTCAGCCCACTTTGATCATTCTAAATGACTGTATGTGACCCTTGGCTGCCTCCAAGGACATGTGCAGCCTGAGGCTGTCCCAAAAAGGCTGCCCTGAGCTGTCTTGAGTTCTTGAACAGATTGCTCAGAGTGAGCTGCAGGGTGGAGGAACGCAAATGCACACTCCTGTGTCTGTCCTTGCTTTACTCTCTGAAGACGTCACAGCAGAGGGGTACCTGGGAGGGAAACAGGCTCTTCAGTGCAGACGTGGGCCATGCAGGTAGGACTGTGGCTAACATCTGAGAGGGAAGCTTCTGGAGACTCAGTCGGCCACCCGGTAATGGGGGACACTGAAGGCGCTGGCTTATCTTTTTTTTCTTTTAACAGCCTATTTAGATACTAATATACTATATAATCCACTCAAAGTCTAGAGGGCAACAATCTTGAATATATTTGTAGAACCATACAATCATTGCACCAGTCAATTTTGCAGCAGTTTACCAACCTAAAAAGAACCCATACTCTGAGTGGCATCATCCCAGTCTCACCACCACCACCACCACCACCCCTGCCACTCCCAGAAACACCTACCTTTTTGTCTCTGGAGCTCTGTATTCTAGACACAGCTGTGACTGAGTAACACCCTGTGGCTTTGAGTCTGACTTCTTGCACTGAGCACATTTTCTAGGACCGTCCATGTTAGCTTAAGTTCATCACTCTATCATTGCTGGGCCCCTGTCTTCCTGTCCACGGCTGAATGGCCAACTTCACAAGGATGTTCAGGCCCTTTCCCCCTCAGACGCAGGTCTGCCCTCCATCAGCTGGCCTTGTGCCCTGCAGAGTAACTGGAGCCACCCTGCGAGTCTCTAGCTGAGGCTGTGATACAACTTGAACTTGGCTGGGGTCATCCTAAGGCTTAGGAAAGGACAAGGCCAGGTCTGGAAAGGACTGGAGCTCAAGACTGCAGGGTCAGCTCTGATCTTATTCAGGAGTTTTCTGGGGCCACCCAGGCCCCAGGTGCTCATCTCTCTGGGTCTCCTTTCTGTTTTCTCAGCCTGTTTCTTCCCCACACCCCTTTCAGAAGCACCCTGACCACAACCCCAGTTTCTGCTGCTGTTTACAGAGCCCAGGGTGGGGCTGGCCTCCTCAGCTGCCTGTGGTTGTGGCGCCTCTTTTCTTCTGTGTAGCACTAGAAAGGTCTCTCCTTGCAGATAGACAGCCTGCTGCCCACTGTGTACTCCAGCCCTGCAGGGACTACCCAGGCCTCTGGATGCCCACTTCCCATCAGGCTGCTGTAGCCACCTCCAATGCCTCAGTAGGTCCTGGGTTGACTGGCCAGGGCCTGAATGTGGAAGAGACTTGGGTGCCCTGGCTCTGTCCTGCTTCAGCCGCTGTGGGTGTCATGGTCTTGGGCAAGGTGAGGCCCTTTGCTTCCCAGGCCTTGGCAAATGGAACATGGCTTCCCATGAGGAAGTTGTCAGCACCAAGCATAGAATGCTTGGCAGTAGAATTGAAGCTGCTGGTGATGGGTCATCCTGATGACATGGAGGAATTCCTCACGTAGTAAAACATGGGTAACACAGATGCCTGCTCCTTAGGCCCGCAGGACTGAATAGACCAGCTTAGCTCTGAGAGGTCAAGTTCTGAGTAGATGTGGAGGATGATGTGGGTATTTATGCCCCTCTGTTGCATGTCCTGATGGGTTGGAACAGATGCTAGGGCACTGGTGACACCAGGATGGTGACATTCTGGTCAGTGATACCTGCCCAACCTTGGTTTACTGGGGCAGTGGGAGGGTCTTGCCCAGCATGGGTGCCGCATGAAGAGTCTACTGTGAGCAGCTGAGGGAAACACCTAGGCTTGTGCCTTCTGACCTCTGTCTCCGGGCTTCCTCTTGGAGCTGTTCCATACTGACTTCTCTTTCTGGTTCTGAGGGTCAGCTTTATCCAAGGCTTCCTTCTGACCTGTCCCAGAGCATGGCTGTGTGGCCCTGCCAGGCCCTCTGTGCCCCAGTCCCTGGGCTCTTGCCCAGCTCCCTGTACTCTGCTCAGGAAGTAGCTGTCTTCCATGTAGCCCGCAGATAGCACTGGACTGGCCTGTCTTCAGTTGGGCACAGCCTCCAGATCCTCTCTGAACCTCGTTTTTCCTGTTAGGAGACATCTGTCCTTCCTTCTTCCTCTGAGCATGGTCAGAAAGGGCCCATTTCTCCCTTCTGCCATGTGCTCTGACTCTTCTGGACCCTCTCCAAACTTCCCCATTGTTGTTTCTCTGTAGGAAACAACTTTGACCCTTAGCCAGCCAAGTGTTTGATTTGATACCTATGGTTTTTCTCAAACAACTGCCTTCGTCTGGAGAAGGGCCATGCCCTGTATTTCTCTGGCCTCAGATTCAGTGTAGACAGGTTTCTCAGTGGACAGCCTATAAGTTCCAGTTGTGTCAATTTGGTTTTTTGTTTGTTTGCTTGTTTTGAGGGTATTGGGGATTGAACCTTAGGGTCTTGTACTATGCTAGGTAAGCATTCTACCACTGAACTACAGCCCATGCCTTACATTTTTTCTTTTTTTAATTTTGAAGCAGCATCTGATCTAGTTGCCCAGGCTGCCCTTGAACTCATCCTGTAACCCAGACAGTCCTTGGACTTGCGGTCCCTCTGCCTCACCTTCCCAAGTAACTGCACCATCTTGCTGCACTCTGCAAGAATAGGAAGAGCATGCACCTGCTAAAGGTGTTTCCTTCTGCCCAAGAGGTCAGGCTGGGGAGCCCTTGGAGTCTCTAAGTCATGTCTACGTTTGAGGATAGAGAGTACTTGGTGTATGACTGCCTTGGGTCCCTCTGAACTGAGTTGAGGCATGCTGGTCACTATATTGGGGGGGGGTGCTATCTGACCTTCTTGCTGGGATGCCCCACCTCCCAGGCTTGTCAAGGACAAGCCACTGGCTCAGGTCCTACAGGGATCCAAGTTCTTTACAAACTTGACCAAAGGTGTGGCTACTGGGGACTGAGCAGAGCCCTGAGGCCGGTCAGTGTGACAGCATCTTCCCCTTCAAGGGAAGGAAATGCTTGGGTAAGCGAGCTGAGCTGGAGAGCCCAACCCTTTTGCGAGGTCTCAGCTCCCCCCCTTGCTCAGGCCCACCATGCTGGGCTGGCCTCACAGGTGTTACTTTGGGTTTGAGGGCTTCAGCAAGGTTCTGGTTAGCAGGGAAGTGGCCTTTGCCTTCCATGTCTCCCCATTTCTTACAACTTCCCTACTGGTGGGTCCAGTAGCCAAGTCCATAGCAGGGCTCAGCTAGGGGCAGCTTAGGGGTCCCCAGCCAGACCCTGGAGCCTCTTCCTGGCCCTTGGGACACCATGTCCGTTAGACCTACCTGTTTTGTGCTCATTGAAGAGCAGTC